GCTGGACTCTAGACATTGTATTTGATTTCAAAGTGTGAAGCAAACAGAAAAAAATTGCAATTTGTTTTGGCATTAAAATGATAACCCCGTGATTGATCTTCATTTCTAAAACTTTCTATATTTAAATGGAAATGTATGTGGGGCTGTGAGTTCTAGACGGAAGAAGCTACTGAAAATGTTAAAGTGCATTCTGAATTAAACATGTGGACATATTTTTATTAAAAGGACCATGCTTACATTGTATTCCTCTACAAAAGTTGATGCAAGATTACAAACATTCAGAATATATAATAATAATGATAAAAATAGATAAAAGCTGCAAACCTAGTATTTCATTTGGCCTTTGATTAGCACTACCAGATCTGGGCTACAAAAATCTAGCAAAAAGTTACTGAAACCCCTAATGCTTTCCTTCCATCTAGTGGCCTTCTGGACTTCTGCAGCCCAGATCTGATAGCCCAGTATCGATGGGTTGTAGGGTGCTATTGGAAGTGGTGCTCCATTGGTTGAAAGTTAGACATATGCTACTAGGTACACTCCTGTTAGTGATCCAACACAAAACAGGGTATTTGAGGGCTGACGTAAAATCAGAGAGCCAGTTTGGTGTAGTGGTTAAGGTATCAGGCTAGAGATTGGGAGACTGTGACTTCTAGTCCTGACTTAGACACAGAGCCAGCTGGGTGACTTTGGGCTAGTCCCTCTCTCTCAATGCTAAGGAGAAAGCAATGGCAAAGCACTTCTGAAATCTTGCCAAGAAAATTGCAGGGACTTTAGTAAGCAACTATATGCTTTTTTAATGTAGGTGGATGGTTTTGTTTGTTTGTGGTTGGCCTGGCCTGGCCTGGCCTGGCCTTGCCCTCATACAAAATCCTGCCTTGCTTCATCCATATTACCAAGGCACATTTGATTTACGAAAGGATGACAAACAACTAGAAAATGGGCAAAATATTCATACTTTTGTGGCTATGAAAGTGATGTGGATGGTGATGTGGATGGTCTGTTTGATCTCAAGATACATTTTTGATGCCCCCCACTTTGTTGACAACTGAAGTGTTGAAAAATGATGACTCTGCATTATAAAGTTATAGAATCTTATCATTACTTTAGAACAGAGTTCCTCAACCTTGGCAACTTTAAGATGTGTAGACTTCAACTCCCAGAATTCCCCGGCCAGCACTGGTGGCTGGGGGATTCTGGGAGTTGAAGTCCATAAATCTTAAAGTTGCCAAGGTTGAGGAACACTGCTTTAGAACTCTTTTCTCCTCTCTTCTGTTTCTTTAATGCAAGACAGCCATAAATGTTTCAATAGAGAACATGTGTATATTTATGTGTATATGTGTTCAGAGAGAAGATGA